TGAAGTGGATCAGTCCTGCCAATTTATAAACATTACCAATAGTTTTCCAAATGCTGGTAAACCTCTCCTAGCATCCTGTTGTGAAATTCAGATGGTATAAAATAATGAAAAAAAGAATTGTCCCTTCCCTAACTTAGCCAAGTCTTGAAACTGTTGTGTAATAAGTGTGTTATGTGACAAATACTTTATCTAATTCAACATTTCTAATATTGCCTAAAAAAAAAAAAAGACAACTTAGATTTATAGGGCCCGTAAACGGGATCTGCCCAGGTGGATGTGGGGCAACACTCCCTATGGGTCTTCTGTATAGAGGTGGTTTTAAGGAACAGTAGGTATAGGTTTTTTTGACATGAAAATGTAATTGAGGAGGAACTCCACTAACAAAGTGGTCATAGAAAGCAAACACGTGAGTACTTGGAGTACTGAGCTGTGTGTTTCCCTGCGGGAGCTTTGGGACTACTTCCTGGTGGAGAAAGGACAGAATGATATTGTTTGTCCCTTGTTTGGGAGAAGAACGCTAGGATATGCCTTGCCGGTACTGGTTTGAACTTTTGAGGTTCTCCTTTTTATGGAGTTGCTGTAGGGGAAGAAATCAAAAGTGAATGTCTGAGGAAACGGGCGTCTTTTTCTGCTTTTGAAACTTCTAATTTAATTATTTTTTTATGCAAGAGGAATGGCAATCCCATCTGGAAACTTGTTTATTTGTTTGTGGTGTTCTCTTGATGGAAGAATCTGTGCATGCAGAAGACAAAACAGACATGTGAAGAGTTTCAGGCTCTGTTAGTGGTCCTAGTTCTTCTGGATCTGCCAGGCTGGCTGCTACCCTGTGTTCTGGAAGAAGTGGTGAGGATGGTTACGTTTTGAAACCCGCTGGTTCTGCCCCAGGTGATTTGGGACTTTGGGTGTCTGTACTGGGTAACTTGGCCACTGTGAGGTGTTGAGGTCATAGCTCAACCTATGAGAATTGGCAAACCCTGTATTTAGGTGGCAGATATCAGACTGCCCTGAACTGAAGAAGTCAGTCTGTAGCCCAAGGGGTTAACTGCTAAGCAAAGAAGAACCCTATGTTACAGCCAGCTCAACTTTGAGGCTAGCCTATATGTGTGGCCGGTTTGGATGAAGGTAATGCTTGGTGGCTGGTTTAGATGAAGGTAATGCTTGGTGGCGTTATGTTTATTGATATTTTATGTTTTGGTAATACAAATGCCAAACATAGCACTGGATATGGTTATAGGCTTTTAATGCAGCTCCCCCTAAGGCCTCGTTCATACCATATACGCAGAAAAACTGATGGAAACTGCCACGCAGATTTCACTTGCAGAGACATCAGTTTACATCAATTTTCATGCGCGTTTCAATGAGTTTTGTACACCTTGCAGATTCATGCATAAAAAAAATCTGCACGCGATACTAGTATTGTGCCATGAACTGGGCACATAGAGAACAATTGATTTTGTTGTGCCCTTGCAGAACGCGTGCAGAAAAACTGACGTCTCTGCAGCATGGTGTGAACGAGCCCTAAAAGGTGAAAATCCTCATCTTTCAGACAATACATGCTTGGCCTTCAGGCTAGCTGAAATGTCATTAATTCACCTGTGGTTTCCTTACCATGGAAATGGCACACTGTAATTCTTATTCTACAACACCTTTAAGAAATGCTGGTTGTTAATAAAGAAATACAAAAAACAAATTTGGCTTGCAGGGTGCACTGTAACTTGTAGTACCACTGTCTTTAGATACAGGTTGCCTGCCTTGGATCTGCTGGAAGCTGTGTTTCTAGACCTGAAAACCACTCAGCCGTATTAATGCATTATGTGCTAATTCCCAGGGATTAAAAATAGAAGCCTTTTTACTGCACAGTCACAACATGATGTAAGGAGGGATTTCTGGGATGGGTGCAGTGTGCCATTGGTTTTATTGCTGTGACACTCTCCTGCTATCTGCAATGCATCATTCTGATCGACTCTTGGGGGAAGATTAACTCCTCCGTGCATCTGAATGCAAAGCTCAGTAACTTGGAGCACGCAAAGTCTGGATACATTTTTACAAGGAAAATAATACGTTGTAGTTGTAATTGACAAATGAGTGATGCTTAGCTATTGAAATATCACTAAATATTCTGAATCTCTTCCCAGGACACAAACTCATCTATATTTAGAAATGTGAATTACTTTTGTTCTACATCATTTTTGTGCATATGGTTCAGCATCATTGCCTTTTTTAAAAGGTGGGGTCAGAGAAGTCACAAAGGGTATTTGTCTGCACCCACGCAGACAGATGGCTTCTAACACACTGGCATCTATTGGTTGTGTTGAAATGGGAATCTTACCATGCACCATTTTTTTTGTAACTCACTGCACTACAACATTGGTTTGCATCTATGCATAAGGGTGTATTGAGGTCCAAATTAAAGTCATGGACCTGTGTATTGTGCCATACTGCAGTGCATACAATTAAGCCAGTCTTAAAGTGACTCTAAACAAAATCCTTGTTCTCAAAAAAAAAAAAAAAAAAAATCCATACACCTCCACTATTTAATGGCCCTGCAATCTGTTTTTCATAAATCCACATTGTGTGTGTGTAAAACCAGACAAAGAAACAGCGAGCGCTCAGGGATCCAATTTGAGTCAGCCGCATTTGCACTGAAAAAGGAACCCTAAAACCTTACAGATAATCAGAATACAAACCAATGCAGCGCTAAAACATTACATAGTGTAAAACTGAAGAAATATTGAATAATAAATACTTAGTATTGATTTATTATCATCACTAATAAGTAATGGTGATAACAAATATGAGTGGATGAAGCGCTATGATGGGCGCAATAAAGCAAGTGCAACTGTGAAAGTCTTATAGCAAAAAGTGTTCATAAAGTAGGAACGGCTTGACACAATCAGGTCAGCATACAATGCTTCAAACGAGTCCTATTGCACAAGTGGTATCCAATAATTTTGTGTGGCTTTATCCGTGCGGAAGATTGAAAAAAATGCGCACTCACCAGATGTGCATAATTAAAGCACAATATGTTGAACAAGAATCTGCAGGAAGCCCCCTTTTAAATGGACCTGACGGACAGCATGGAACCAGGATCCCTCCTCTGGATATAAGCCTCCTCTGCAGCCACGCTTCCACTGTGGTCCTGGGAATCATTGCTCAAAACAGAGCCAAGAAAGAATATGCTCGTAGTATAGTAATGTTGCCACTTTAATATATAAGAGGCGTGTTAAACTCTTCCACGTGGAAATAAATCAAAACTTGCAGCATAAAAACAGCCACTCTCTAAAATGGCCGCCGGACCTTTGTGAGGCTCTGACGACGTAACGTCACGGCGTACGGCTCCTCCTTGACCCAGTTTTAAAGTGACTCTAAACAAAATCCTTGTTCTAAAAAAAAATAAATAATCCATACAATTCCACTATTTAATGGCCCTGCAATCTGTTTTTCATAAATCCACTGTGTGTGTGTGTGTTCTTTCTTTTTCTGCCCCCTTGTAATGCCCTCTCTGAGCTGCTGAACCCCTCCCCCCCCCCCCCCCCCCCCCCCCCCCCCCCCCCACCCCCCCCCCCCCCCCCCCCCCCCCCCCCCACACTTTTGTTTGGAATTAGCAGTGCACAATAGTTGTGGCCATATGCACTGCTCCATGCACACTACAAATCCCATAGGCCGTAGTCAATCTTGAAAAAAGCAGTAGAGGGTGGCTATGCTCCTACATACAGTGGGACCATGGAGAGCGAACCTAGTCAACCTCTAACAGGAAGTTGGATTGCATTAGCAAAAGGGGGTTTTAGGGGAGGCTTAGCGCAATAGAAGGTACTTTGTAGTTTAGAATGCATACATTACTGTGCTTCTATGGTGTGACCGGGTTTTGAATTGTGCATGTAGAGGTAGCTTGAAGTTGTAAGAACAAGGTAGAACATAAACATGGGGCATACCATTGAGATCTGTACGTAAACATTTTTGCCTTGGAAGTTTTTGAATGCTAGGCTTACTGAAGTCCAATAAGGAATGCTGCATCTCTTCAACAGGTGTAAAAGCATCAGGTTTTTCATACGTAATCTATCCCTACATATGTCTTCACCTTTTTCTCCTACAAATGAAGGCAAAGGGTGGAAAGTTTAAAAAACACTGAGGTGTGTGGAATCTTTATCCTGGTATTGGAAAGCGAAATTGGGTAGAACCTTTACAAAAAGGCCTGACATACTTGAGTGTTTGAGGAAACTGTTTTATGACACCAGTGATGGAACTGAGGAGAGGGAGAGGTTTGACTGAGGGTGACAATGAATGACGAACATAGTGGCCAGGAAGAAAAGACTGAGGACCACTGTGTATGTGTTATAAATTTTAATTTGCATAGTCAATTTTTTTTAATATCATTCAAATTATTAATTGGTATAGTGGAAAGAGTTAATGCCTCAAAGTGTAACTTTTTTTTTTTTTTTTTTTCAGGCTTCTGCTTCATTAGGTAGTGATTTTGTGTGTGTAGTGGTTGTGGGTGTGTGTTGTGTGGGTTTTTTTTTTTTTTTTTTTTTTCTTTAAACTGTAGTTCGCCTGTTTAGCCCTAAAAATGAGCAAATTGCAAATAGGAAAATCTGCCCAGGTTCTATCACAAGATATAGGAAACTCTCACAAATAATAATATTTTTTTTACTTCTGTTTCTAAATTTGTTAGCCCTTGCTCTTTTCTAGAACTTGAAATTTGGGTTTGTTGGGGGTTGTGCTTTAAATTATTATTATTATTTTATTTTTTTAACACTGCGGGCCCCCATGCGTTAACCAGCGAGCCCTTCGAACTTGTAGTCTCTTAGCAGCTGGTAAAATTTTAGCTTAGCCAGCTAATGTAAAACAGCGAAAATGGCTTGCAGTCAAATTATTCAGTAACTAAGTACTGTCAGTAATTTTTTTCTCTTTTTATTTTTATGCTTGTAGGAATTCTGGAATTTATTAGTATAGCAGTGGGCCTGGTCAGCATTCGAGGTGTCGACAGTGGACTATACCTAGGGATGAACGAGAAAGGGGAACTGTATGGGTCGGTAAGTTCTTAAAATGTCACCATTTTTTGTCTAACTGGTGCTGGTCCATTTTCAGCATGGACCTGCTAATACTTTCCATCCTATAACAGCCAATTTGATCTGTCTACAGTAAACAGATCTAATTGGTTGCCATGAGTTATCACACAATGTCATGACACTTTTGGTTTTAATGAATAAGCTTGAAAAGCTTTTGTTACTTTGCATTTAGTTACACATTGGTGTACATGCATTTTTATATTTCATGGGTCCCAGTATAACACTGATGTTGTAATGAGCTCAGAATAGTGACTTGATCACATTTATGAGCCTAGAACCTCTGTATATCGCTGTTGTTCAGTGGGTTGTTTTTTTTAAGTTAGAGACATGCAGTTCATTTCCAAGCATTCAGCATCTGAGGCTAGCATAGGGATATTTTTGTTCATTTTATACTGTGTGCTTGTTGATCCAGTTTTATATATGATTGTTTGATTTATAAGGTGAAGCATTATATAATGGCGCCCAGTGGTTTATATGGTCAGATTGGTTACTTGGTTGTGATTTCTACATATTTAATATGTAGGATATTGCTAAAAAGTTATAGCATCGTGCAGGTGGAGTATGCCATGGCTGAAGGTTTGAGTTGGGTTGATAAAAGGTTTTATTCTGCATTCCCAAGCCTGTAACGTTCCCTCAAAAATAACAGTTAAACTGGACAGACTGTGGAAATGTGGGACAGATTGAAAAGAAAATAATGATGGGTAAATCAGAGGGGGTAGTCGGTGAGGATAGTGCGGCTGGCTAAGTTAATGTGTGATAGATGTACAAAAGTCAGATGTGTGCTCCGAACGGATTGAAACGCACACGAATACACTGTATTGTATTGAGACCACCATAAATCAAAGCTGTCAGCCCCCTGCTGGTGTCCCCCCACCCTTTCACACTGATATTCATTCATGTGTTTGGAGATGTCCTAAGGGTGAGACTGCTTAAGGCCTTGTCAGAAGGGGAAGCAGAAATTGCATAATAAAGTAACCTAAGGGCTTTGAAAACAAAGTGAGTATGGACAGCTCCATACAGGACAACACAGAGCTTTTAAGCAATCCACACCAGACAGAAGCTATCTGTCAGAGGACACAGTGAGAGATCACACAGCATTGCAGAAAGAGATTTGCAAACATAGCACTCTCTGCTGTATCCTCTGATGAATGGCTTTCAATGCATTACACTATGGACAGTGCATCTGCTTGGATCATCTTACCAATGCATAGATTTCCCAGTTTTCTGTTGTTTGATTGGATGGTATGGTGATGTTACTTAATGCCCAAAATCAACATCTTTCCTGTGGTCCAGAGTCCCCGCTAAAAATCAATAAATCAACCTTACACAAGCCCTTATTTTATGGACTTCTTTGGACCATATTCCTTCCTTCCTTTAGATTGTAAGCTCCACGAGTAGGGCCCTCCTATTCCCTCTGTACCAAAATGTATTGTAATTGTACTGTCTCTCTTCATATTATAAAGCGCTGCGCAAACTGGCGCTATATAAATCTTGTATAATAATATTCAGATAATTCAATGCAGAACAAAGAGTAAATCCTCATGAAGATCATTATGAGTATCTTGCTCTTTGTTGTACGTTGAAATAAATATCTGAATATTATCTGTAGATGTCCAAAAGACAAGGGCTTTGTAGAAGGTTAATGGTGATGTTACTCTGAGGCTTCATTCACCATCAGAAAATCCATGCTTTTTTGCTCTGATCATTTCGGTATTATAAATGTTTTGAAAAGTATAGGGCAAAAATTTTTTTTTTTTTTTCCACGGAGTGGGTATTGCTAGAGTAGAATAAGGGGAGTCACAACACCTTGGTATGACTATTGTGGAACTCTAGGAAAGACTATTATCTGGAACCCCAAGTTCAAGTATTTCCAGGATATATCCGTGGGTGCCTTTTTTTAAGTTAGTGAATTATTGACCCCACAGGAGCATACTACAATAATGGTTTTGGCTGGACTTAAGGTGCCCACAGACAATAGCTGATTGCTGTAATTTGTTTTTTGATGGTCAATGCATTTGCATTGGGTGAATGTGCAGGTTATGGAGCAAGCAGGGTGACACACTCAGATGCTAGCTTGTCTTGGGAAAGGGCACAAAGCAATTTTTTGGGAAAGTTCTTTCTGACTTATTACATATCATGCTGAGAAGGCTCAGGAGGGAACTTTGAAATAGACCTGTGGATATTCAGTCTCTCCTGAAACACAAATACTCAGTTTATGCAAACATCCTCTGAGGTTAGGTTCGCACCTTTTTGCATTTGTATGCATTGTTGATGCGCATTTTCAATACATTTTTTTTTTTTTTTTTTTTTTTTTTTTTGCTTTTTTCATGTACTGAAGTTTACAAAAGCACCTGTGATATTTTCCACAATGTGTGGCAGTGCATAGGCGTGAACATGCTCCCTAGAAAAGAATGGAAATCTTCATCTCCTGATTTTGGCATGTCAGGCAGCTTGTCTTTAAATCTCTCAGGTATTAATGGGGACTTATGTTTGTAGCTACCTTGTTTAGGCTTTAACCTTTTTTGGATGGATCAGGTCATTATCCGTTGTCTGATGGAACCCTCTCCAAGTAACTTGTGTGACTAGAGTGCCACGAAGGGGAGAAACTGGCCCAGAAGACATACTAAGATGATCTTGAGTGCATGGTCATCCATTCTCTAAGATCTCTGGTAAACTTTACACTATCCTTGCAAGCCATATTTAATGTAAAGTCTGAACAAGCTTCTCACCATAATTCTAACAGTCCTCCTCTATCCCACTTAAGTTCTTCACACCCATCTATGGCTTTGTCAGAAAACTGGAGCATCCTAAGCTATGGAGATGCAAACCAACAACAGTGATCAGTGATTTTTCACACATCTTACTTAGCAAATTTGCCTTTTATACATTGGTTGAATGAAACTGCAGTGGAACAACTCTTTAATGTTATAATGAACCATACTTAGGTGTTACTTGCCACAAAGAGCACTTGACGCATATGTGTAGAAGGCAATCATGAGGAAATGATGGCATGAATGGGACAATTTCCTCCCACTGATACCTTTTTCCTTTTCTTTATTCTTAAATAGTAGTAACCAGGTTATATGTACTTGGTAAAATCCATGGAAATGATTTGTGAAACCTATGGCGCATGCACACTGCCATTTGGGACAGTTGGGAGTTTATTTGGCATTCTTACGTCGCTTGCATAACCCTACTATAAGTCACTTCATTATTTGTTTACAAAAAATACGAATAAAAAAAAAGAGGCACACCCTTCCTATTAATAAAGTGGGGTAATACACATTAATATGATGTGTTGCATTTAGGTTTGATTGATGCTAGATAAAAACAGACCTATCATTTAAAAAAAACAAAGTCACAGGAATCTATACTCCGTACAAATAACATATTTTTGACCTTAAAAAATAGTACCTCTTCCTTGTTTTAAATACACAGCTGTAAACTTTATCATGCTGCTAACAGTTTTATGTATCTAGCTATAAGGTGCACATTTGGCATTATAAGAAGGTTGCAAAGAGACAGCTGGGCGGATCCACTCTGTAAAATAAGAGAATAACCAGGGCCTGCTGTCCTCATGTACATAAACAATCACAAACCATTAAAACTGGGTTTTAAGACCTTATTGTAAGATTTTCTACATTGAGCCAATCTTTTTCACATGTTAATTGGGGGATTTAAGACTGTATATTCTCTTTAAGCTTTTAAGATCAGTACTTTTTCCTGCACCCAAGTATATGGGACAGACTAATGTCTCAACTAAACCATGTGTGCCCAAAAGCATGAACTTGCCATTCGGCACCCATGCAGCAATGAAAAATGGTTCTGTTCTGTATAACAAATGTGGTTTAAGTGAAAATGGAAAATGTGTGCTGGTCAGACTACAAGGGAAAGCAATCTTGCATCCACCACTGAGAGGGCAGGGAAGAAGCTCACCTCCGCTTCAAATAACTGTACAAAGAATGGATCCCATGAAGCCACACATCTATGCAGACCCGCTGGTATTGAAATGAATGGCAGTCTCCTCCTGGGTTCTTGCCAGGCAATGCTCCCAACCCATTTCACTCTGCCCCTCAGAGCTTAATCATGGCGATCCCTATGATTAAGCTCCGAGGGTCAGAGTGAAACGCATTGGGGGCATGGCCTGGCGACAGCCAAGATGGAGACTGCCATTCATTTCAATACCAGCGGGACTGCATAAATGTGTGGCTTCATGGGATCATGGGATTCATCATTTGCTTAAAAAATGTGGTTTAAGGTTTACCTATTGCATTGCCAAATAGAAATGAAATGCTTACATATGTTGCATATGGTCTGTAGCTACTGTAGTGAACCAAGTGACAACCCTGGGCCAATCGTGTCAAACATCAGTGCTTTCATGCTGTGATGAAGGAAAGAGAGTTGCGTGCTCATTCTACCTATAAGTGATATGTACTTTGCAAGAGTTCAACAGAGTGGAGGGGGGAACAAAGTAAAGTATGTTCTCCTGGGGAGGGGGCATTAAAGGATTCAGTTTGCCCATGCTTTACATCTTAAAATTAAGCTGTTTTCTTGTTGAAAGGCCAAGCCTTAGGCTGGCCCTACATGGAGCTAGCCCTCCCGCCCAACATCCTTCAATTGGAAATTGTTAGCGTAACAGCTGCTACATCCACCAATCAGGCATTCTGACAGCCGCCAGCTGTCAGGATACAAAAGCCAACATTGGAGATTCCTTCATGCACACTCTTTAACTTGGGTAGGGGAATCGAGAGACATTTTTCAGGTTATGACCAGTTTAATAACTATTTAGCCTCTTCAAACAATTCTGTTCTGCCACCTACCCCACTGAAGTTAAAGTAGGGGCATTTGTGAGAGTTGGGACCAGGACCATCGGGGGGATAAATCTTTGCAGAAAGTCTAGGCTTTATGTGGTCCTAAAACTGTATATTTTGTAAGTCAAACTCTCATCAAACATCCCCAGGTAT